TCCGGCTGACTGTGGTCGGTTTGATGTCAGGGTAGCTCTCCTGCTTCCCGTGCATTGCAGTCCCACACTCCCCTCTCCACTGTTCACTCTGGTGTCTGTTTCTTCTGTCAGTGGAGCTCGCTCCTTCCTGTGCTGCGTGGCAAGTTCATGTTCACTAGAAGCTGCCCCAGAGCAGCTCCTGTGTGCCTCAGACATACTTGTCCTAGGTACTTCTCTATTCCAGTCTCAGCTTGACTTTCTGTACCACTGGCACAATCCCATTTCTCGGAAGAGGTCTTGCTCCTGTGCAAACATCTGGTGATTCAGTGACCCCACAGGATCCATATTTCTAGACTAAATCATCGTTATCAACTGAAGTTCATGAAACTCAAGGTGCCCTCACCCCACTAAGTTGTATAGTTGCCTGTTTGTCACACCATGCTAGCCGTGTTTGAGGGAGGGAGTGGGTAATAGAGACAGATCTCTATCCACAAGCTGAGTTTTATCAGTTTTATCTTTCTGAACAGTCATCTGAAATCAACCAGTGTCCAACCTACCCATAGCTTTCTAGATAGGGTACATGTGACTGTTGTTGAGGGAAAGCGTCTCCCAGTGTGTAAAGCCTTTCTGTCCCTGCTGCTGTGTCGTGAGCTAGTCCTGGTGCGTCAATGGACCACTCCATCCACAACCCTCTCCCAATCTGTGGTAACTTTACAAATTGATTAGTGACCTTTTTAAGGCCTTCTACTCATTTCAAGTTAATTGTCCTAGTAATTTGACTGTCATCAGGATGTAATTTGTTAGTTTCCATGGCATTATTAACTATGTTGTGCCTGCTTCTCTCCTGTTCAGAAAAATCTGCCAAGGGAGATAGTGCACCCAGAGCCTCTGGGCAAGATGAGCTGCTCCCAGTGCAAGACAGCCCTGCCCGGGCCGCAGACATGCGCTCTTTCTTCACCAAGCTGTCCATGGAGATGGAGGGTGACTTCTCTTCCTCCGAGAGTGCAGAAGAAGAGCTGCCCAGTGGGGCAAGCCCTAGCACTGAGCATGCCTTTCACGAGGAGAGGCAGACTGAAGGCTCAGGGCAGAGGCCTGAGGACGGCAACAGGACCGACGTCTATGATCGGGAACACTTTTTTGATGATGATCTTCAAGCTGCAATTGACTTCTTCAAACTTCCCCCTCCTCTTCTTTCTCCAGTGCCCTCACCCCCTCCAATGGCATCGGGCTCTTTACCTTCTTCCCTGGCACCTGTGAGTTGGCTTTCTGAGTTTTAACTCCGTTTGGATGTGTTTGTCCTTTGTCCAGGGTGTTTCACAGGTGTTCGTGTACTCAGGAAAACTGTTCATTTGACCCAGTTTTACTGTGAACTAACAAGGAAGTAAGAAGCTGTGCCAGGATCCTGTGGATCAACACATGTGCTGTGACTTTCTTCACTCTGCCTTAGAGCTGCATTTTATTTGTCTTTAATTACAGTTTTTATGTAGAAAGGTGGCATTTATTTGTATTGCTAGTGCATAGCATGAGATAAACATGGAGAGAATGAAGCATATTCTTGGCAGACATGGGATGTTTCCAGAGACAGAAAAATCTCCATGTCTAACATTCTTGACCCTTGACCCAGGAGCATTTCAGCCTTGGCTATATCTTCAAACGTTTACATACTGTCTGCTCCCCAAAGGAGACATGACATGCACTTCTATTCCAGTCACCTAGTCGAGTACTGTGAGTTCAAAGTTGATGGAGGATACAGGGTTGAACTGGGCTGTGAATGTAGGACCCAGCATGGAGCTCCTCAGCTTGGAGAGAGCTCTGCTGGCCTGCAGGCACTCTCTGCCTCAGACTACAGAGCTCTGCTGAGGAGAGGTTGTGGGAAAAGAGGAGCCCTTGAAGGAAAGCTGTGAGGAGTTGGTGGTTTCAGGAGAGAAGCCACTTTATAGCAATGTTCAACCCAGGGCTGACGTGGCTTGAGGGATCTTCTTGTGGGCTGTTTCTGGAAGGGCCATGAGAGTCTTCCTAGGGAACCCAACCGTGTTATTAGGGGGGTGGGAAATCCTTGACTCTAAAGGCAAGGGCCGTGATAGATTTTCATAAGAAGTTTATGTGTAGTCACAGTCTGAATAGGATCAGATCAACCGTTTAGGAGGAGGAGGAATGCTGGTCAGGATGAGGTCCTAACATCTGGGCACAGGTTGTGGCATTGGGGCCAGAGGCTGGTCTAGTTTAAAAAGTGACTCATAGAGTGGTACTTGATAACATTTCCACTGTGGTCTTTAGGGGAGATGGAGTCAGAGCCCACTTGGGAGCTGTATGACTTCCCACCGGGTTTCCGACTGATTCCTACCTGTGCCTTGTCTCATCTAAAGTTAACACGTGGTGCCTGCCCTGGGAGTGGGCAGGGTGTAGACGCTTGAGTCTGGCTATGTAAAGCAGAGCTATGGAGCTGTGGTTGTCCATTCAGTAAGAATGGGATGTTCGTCCGCTCAGTAAGAACATGGAAAAGGTGAGGATCCAGTCAGAGTCCTTGGCAGCTATCACCAAATAAGTAGAGGCAGGGGAGAAAGACAGTGTGGGGAGTGTAGGGGAAGGCCACGGAGATGTCCTCTAACCTCGAGCGTTAACAAGTAGGGGTGTTTACATGTGGATAGTTAGGTTCCAGCACGTGAGCTCACACTTCCCATATGCATATAAAGGACAGGCTTGATGACGTAACCCAGGTGGGAGCCACTAGGTAAGCATGTAGGAGGGGTTTTGGAGCAGAGGTGACTTGCCACCGGCTGGAGAAGTATTTCTGTATCTGCAGTCCGCAGAGTAATAACATGGCTCAGAGGCTAGCCTCAGCATGAGACTAGCAAAGAGAGGAACCAAAGGGAGATGGAGCCAGAAGCCAGTAAACCTCAGTCTACAGTCTTTTCTTTACCAGAACCCGGACTAGGGACGCAGGAGAGCTGAAGGTACAGACCCGGGCTGAGTGCTCTGTAGACTAGGACTGAGGTGGGCCTTGCTTATAGGACTGGCTTCTTAAGAGTTGGATAGAGCAGGCACCACCCCACAGCCTGGCTCACCCCTCACAGGTGTGGGGTTGAGAGTTTTCCCTAGAAGCAGCCACTCTTTTAAATGTGCTTAGTTGTGCTGACAGTGACTGTGTGCTTTGTGTGACTTTCAGGAATCCTTCTTTGGAGAGTTCACGGATTCCAGCGACAGTGACTCTGTCCCACCTAGAGACTCTATGGTTTTGGAAGATTACACAGCGGGGTCACGGGGTTATTTTGATTTGCTTGAAAAAATTAAAAGGAGTGATTCATTTGTGGAAAAGCCCTGGTCACTGGAAGCTGCCCAGGCTGTAAACAAACTGACATCTCTTGGATTTGATACTGGAAGAACAGCACTGGGAGAACCCTCAGCCACATCTTCTCTAGCTCGAGGAAGGCACGGGACTGCATCATCTGAATTCGTGAGGGACAGAGGCGAATCTGTAGAAGAGGCAGAAGGAAAGGTGGAGGCTAGGGAGGTAGATAAGTCTGTGCAAGTTGGGAAAGGGCTTCTGAAGCAGAACAGGAGGCTGTGGCTGGAAACGGCATCCAGAGGCCCCACACGGAAGAAGGGGGCTGGAGCTGGGGAATTGGAGACTTGGTATTCTCCCCGTGGCAAGAGGACGTTCAGCGAACTCAGAGAATCTGAAGGAAAAATCCTGTCATCAAAAACTTCGTGCCCACCCCAGTCAGAATTTTCTAAACAGACACTCACTGATGAATTTGCTTCCAAGTCACACTGTGTGACAGGTTCTGGCCATTTTCAGAGAAGGGAAAGAGATGTGCAGGAGTCTCCTCCACAGTCAGGCTTATGTGCAGCTGAAGCAGGTTGTGAGCGCTCAGCTAGTCTTCCTTCCTCTTCCTCTGCTACCTCGGTACCAGGGTCTGTCTGTAGTAACCGCCAGACATCATGGCTAGGGTGTGTCAGTGTAGACACTCCAGCAGAAGTAACCTGCACAGAACAAAAGTCACCAACTAGAACTTCAAACCCATTTCTTCTGTGGTCTGAGCCAACAGCATGTTTTCCAAAAGAAAGTCATCCAGAAAACAGCTTGTCTACTTTGAGTCCAAAGTCAAAATTTGGAACATCTACCTTTAGTGATTGGAAGAGCAGGGGCCTGGAATCTTTCAGCACTTTAAAAAGCACAGTGAAGGAACACTCACTCCCCCAGTCAGTATTTCAGAAGCCCACAGGAGGAGGACAGTGTGGAGGCCGAGGTCCAGGCACTGCACTCATACTGCCTAAGTCAGACTGGACCTCATTGGCACGTTCGCCGGCTGGCCTCACCAGAAGGAGCCCTGGCTCTACTGACAGTACCTCATGGCACCGCAGTGATGTCCTAAGGCGAGGTAGTGGGGGCAGCCCCAGAGCTACCTCAGAATACCAGCAAAGGACCAGGCTACAGCTAGAGAAGGCTGCACCAGCCTCACAGAACAGCAGGCGGACAGCTATGTTTGGACCTCCTGGAAAAAGTACCATCCCTTTCAAATTTAAGGCAGCTGCTGCTTTACTGCCAAACCAAGTGTCAGTCATAACAAAGCAGGCAAGACCCAAGAGGGTGCTGAGTAGCAACCTAGAGCCCTGGCGGCCACGTGTGAGCACACTGAGTCCTGCTGTAAATGGAGGCAAGGAGACAGGTCTTATGCCATCAGTAGCAGCCTGTGTCAGAGATGGAGGCCTCATAGCACAGGTCCCAGAGCAGGTAGCTGATGATGAAATCCCTTCTCCAGAAGTTTCTGTGTCTTGGCACAAACATCGTTGTGGTTCTCCAAGTGGCTCCTTGCTCACAGAGAAGTTTAGTTGCTCCACAGATTCTAAGTTACCTTTCTCCTCTGAAGACAACCTCTTCCAGTCTGTCATGAATGAACACTTGCTGCAGAAGCCCAGGAAGTCTCCCAAAACCACACAGTCAGGTGCCAGTGGGCTTCCATCTGGGGTGACATCAGAAGTCTTCCCTGCTGAACAAATGCCCCATGGACCCCGACACCAGGCAAACCCTGAAGCTGCTGTGGTTGCCAGAGACTCTCACCATGCCCCACAGAATGCCAGTGCACCTCCTAGAGTGCCAAGCAGGGCTCCTCTCAGAGCTTGTGTGCCCACGGGTCCTGTTTGCCCTTCAGGCCTTGGCCATGCAGATGAGGAAACACAAGGGACCTCTCAAAGTAGTCTCCCTGGGCCTTCCTACTGCTACACGGGCATCAGAGAGCGAGGCGAGGACGACACGGAAATGGAGGATGAGGCTGTTAGTGGCAGTGAAGGAGAGCACGAGGCTGAAGCTGGGATAGGGCGCAGACAGCAGGAAGCAGCGGGAGACTCACATAGACCTGCAGGGGACCCAGAGGCTGGGGTGCGTGAGGCAGGACACCCCTCAGATGTAGGTGATCTGACCTCTGCACTAAGAGAATGTAACTTAAGCACCTTTCTTTACATAGACAAGCTTTCTACATCAGAGGTGGTTATGGTTCTTGAAAGTTGTCAATTAAGGGATTGTAGTTCAAGGGCCTCTGTTTCAGAATGTTCTAGCAAAGGAACTGTAAATGAAGAAATGAACAAAGAGTTAAGGCAAAGTGAAATCTCCAGAAAGAAACATGGGGAGAGGTTCTGTGAAGAAGAACTACTCAGAGCCTCGGAAGAGTGGGCTGAGTCAGAGGGAGATGACTGTTGTGGCAGGAAATCATGCCAACACACTCAGTGTCCTCTGGAATTGCCACCTGAACTTCCCACCAAGACTGGGGAAGGACTTCATACAAACCCTGTAGACTGCGATGGGAAGGATACTGAGCATGTATTGCTAGTAAACTCGCATCACAGCCAGGCAGCTGAAGATCTGACAGAAAACACTCTGCCTGAGGAAACATCCAGCCCCATGGCCCACACTGCTGAATTGCCTGAACCTTCAGCTGAGGATGGTGGCGGCAGCTCCCCACTAAGTAGCAGGTCTGACCCTGAGCACATTCAGAGCAGATACGAGGATGAGCCCAGTTCTGAGGGATGTCTCAGCACTGGGGAAGAGGGCCTGGTAGAACCTGAGGAGCTGTTGACTCTGAGCTCTGACTCTCCAGCCCCACCAAGGTTAGAGCAGAGTTCTGATTGTGTGACAGAGACAGCATTTCGCTACCAGATCTCCGCAGTGACCTCTGAAGTTATAAGCGTACTTATAAATAAGGATCAAGACCTCGTGATTGAAAAGGGAGACAACTGGACTATCATCAGCGGTGTGGCCATCTCCCCTGGCATGGAACAAGTAGTCCTGTGTGACACTCTTGGGGATGCTGCTCCCTCCCAGGATCAGGGAGACCTAGACGACGGTTCTGTGGAGAAGTCCCCAGAAGCCAATCCTTCTGGCCCTCTACCTCAAGAGCCTCCATGTGGTGGTGATCTCTCTGGTGCCCAAGAGGATGTTTCTAGCAGTGGTCAGAGTGCCAACTTTGATAAGAGTCGTCTTCGGAACAGACCTGTGAAACCTAGCATCTGGATTCGTTCTCAGATATACGACCAGACACTTGAGACCGAGAAAGTTGCATCTGATCACACATATTATAACTGGAAATTAGAGCCACTTGGTAAAAATAAGCCTCGATCAAAGGTTTCCAACAAAGATCAAGCAAGCAAGCTAGGCAAGACACCAGGACTCAGCAAAGGGGAAGTGCATCTTAGTGAAGGCCCTCAGACTGTATCAGGGGGAAGAACAGATACAAAGACACCAGGACTCTGCAGTGAGGAAGTGCATCTTAGAGAGGGCCTTCAGCCTGTATCAGGGGGAAGAACAGATACAAAGACACCAGGACTCTGCAGTGAGGAAGTGCATCTTAGAGAGGGCCTTCAGCCTGTATCAGGGGAAAGAACAGATACAAAAATGCCAGGAAGCCAAGCTCAGCCTGCTGTGGCAGGTACAGTTATGTCTACCCCCACCAACTGTTCCCCTGACACTCTGAGCAAGATCCGGCAAGAAGTGGGGCCACCATTGCCTCCGTTGCTTCCCCCACTAATAGCCACACCTCCAAGGACATCACGGACACTGTCTCCTCTGATACCAAGTTCTAGTCTGTCCTCAAAGTCCTTACCTGCTGGCCATGTTTCCCCGTTGTGTGAAGTTCCAGGGCCTCCTGTGTTGTCTCCATGGCCTGAAGAACTCCAGCAGGCCTCCCCACTCGGTCCCTCTCCATCCCCATCCACAGCAACAGCTAGTGGAAGGATAGTGTCCTCTCCATTACAGTTCTGTGCTGCTACACCAAAGCATGCACTTCCTGTGCCTGGCCGACTCCCATCCTGTGCACCTGGTCACGCTTCAGTGAGTGGGCCTCAGGAGAATTCTGTAAAAATCCTTGACACTATGTACCCAGAGTTATCTGCCAGAGCCCGGACCCTCAGCCTCCTCAAAGGGAACATGCAGCTCTCCCGAGGCACCACTGTGGATGGAAAGGTGTTACCAGGGCGTGTCAGTGCTCTCCTAGGACTCAAAGCGATAACCTCCACATCAACTGCGTTTGTCCTAACAGGGGGCAGCTCTGGTGGTGACTGTAGCCAAGGTAAGTCACAAGACTCAGGTGTGCAGCGTGATGCAGGTGGAAAAAGAACACTAGCAGTCCCTATGCTGAGGAGTGCTAAAAGACTGCGCCTGGACAACGAGTCCAAGTCCCCAGAACCAGACTCCAGGGATGTCCCTGGGGAAGGAGTCCGTAAGGACCCCCAAGGAGGAAGCCCACCAGCGGAAGTCGGTCCAGCCGAGGAAGAGCCAGCTGCTCTCCCAGCCTGCAGCTCAGCTTCCCTTCTGCGTGTGAGCCCAAGGGAGATGGCAGAGTCGTATAACATAGCCATAACTCGGGCTCTGAGGAAGATTGCCGAGTCCTCCTTTGACCTGCTTCCTGTCATCCGGAGTCACGTGTATGTGGGAAATATCTCCAAAAAGCCTGTCATGAGAGATCAAGAGAAAGAAGTTGTTTATGAATTCAGCACAACAAACAAGGTACATTTCTCTCTCTCTCTCTCTCTCTCTCTCTCTCTCTCTCTCCATATATATCTATGAATGTGTTCAGCATGAGTGTCTAGCAGGGACTGGCTAGTGCAGGTGACACTGAAGATTACCCCTGTCAACATTGAAGCCTTTGTATTTCTAGCCGACATCTGTAGATTGGAACTACAGGAAGAGAGTGGAAGCTTGACACAGAATTGTGGAGGAAACTCTTACAGAGTCTCGAATTTCCAGGTGGTGCTGGCATTTTAAGTTTAAAGTATACTTCCTTCAGCTTGCCACATTGCCAGCACATGAAGCCTGTCGTTTCTTTGGATAGTGGTTCATACAGTGTCAGAGCTTTGTACAGACTAGCTGTGTAGCTCCTAGGGACTCTAGCTATGTGTGCTAAGCATCCCTCAGCTCCTTGTCAGGTAACTCCGGTGCCTGCTGACTCACCCTTCAGTGTCCAGTATGACATCCAGGGTGTCCTTGTGGAATAACTGTCCTTGATTGCTGCCTCTCAGAAAGCCTAAGAGGCTGAAGTGTCTTGGAGAGACTATCTTCTGTGGGAATAGCTGTCACATTTTCAGTGATACAATTCTCTCTCAGGGAAAGGAAATAGCACTTAATCTAAACAATAGACTAAGTATAAATGGGGATACAATTAGCCTGAGTGTAATGTACATATGTAGGGATTGGCACATGTGGATTCTTAGCAGAAAGAACAAATGAGAATGTATCTGAATGGTGACCATGTCATAATAGGCAAGTAGGTGGATTTTCAGACTTGCTTTGGTATCTATAGTTTGATCTCAAGCGGTCAGTCAGAGGGTGTTCTCTCACCTCTGCTAGCATGCTAGGCAAATTGTTACCATTACTATGGCCTACCTTCTTTCTGGTGCTATAAAAGGTTTTTTTTTTTTTTGGGATTGGTTCTTGTATCACTAATAATTGTTTTATCTTTTTCCCAATCTAGCATTTAGGAGAATACTTACTTCGCTCCATTCTCTCTGAGCTAAAGATTCAGAAGACATCTCTGGACCACAGTTACATCCACGCCCTGTGCAGAGTGTATGTGGGCATTTGTCGGCAACTTGGAGACTTGGAACGAGCTCGCTTGTTCTGTTACAGCCTTCTGAAGGAAGGTGCGTGTTCAAGGTGCAGCACTGCCGTGTGAACATCCACTGCGGCAGGCTCACCGTATACTTCTCTCTTTCAGCTGGTTGAATTTTAGTCTCGTGAGTTTGAAGCTAGCATGGTCTAGAGATCCTGTCTTAAAAAACAAGTTTTGATCTATCATAAAGATTAAGTAATACACCGCGTCATACTAGTTTCAACTTGCTTTACTTAGACTTGACTCACATGTCCTTGTGTTTGTGTAGACTGCGTAGACTTACTGACGTTGGCACATGTATTTGTATAGACTGTCTCTTGTTGCCCACTGTGTATTTCCTCTATTCCTGTGTTGCAGACTGTGGGAATCCTTGTACTAGTGACTGTAAGATGGACTTTGTACCTCACGGATGAGGAGAACCAGGCAGAGGACCAGGGCTGTCCTCACTTACCTGCTCCCTTTCCTGAGACTTCCTCAGTCTCAGCTGTGGGTCCAGATGAGAGTGCTTTGTGACAGCAGATCATGAGTATTCATAAACGGGAAAAGGCAGGGACGAATATGGCACAGTGCTGCATCAGGGCCTGTGTCAGTCAGCCCACACTGTTGCTGCTCACTGATCTGGTCAGTCCCCTATCTTGGGATACATGCTGTGTGACCATGAAAGGGCTGAGCACTGGTAACATAGGAACACAAAGGCAGTCAGCTGGGCAGGAGTGTGAGTCAGCCAAGTCCGTGCATTGCTTGTTCTAACTCAGTCGTGGGCTTACTCAGACTGCATGCCTGTTCTTACAGGGGATTGCCCGTGTTCACTCTATGGCTTCGTAGTCCTCAATCATTTCCTGTCTCACAGTCTCCTGTTGACTTTGTGGCATGTGCCATGTGGGGCATGTAGAAGTGCCACGGCAGGAAGCAGGCATCAGAGCAGGTGTCCACAGCAATAGTGTATCAAGATTGAACCCGGACCTACACACCCTGTAAATCACAGTACGAGTATAACAAGAAAGTGCTAAGCAGGTATGCCTTCAGTGCAAACAATAACATACTCTCAGTGAGCACCTCATTCCCAGATGGAGAGCTCCAAATCTGTTTGCTGTCACTACAAATCCAGTAGGTATATCGGCTTCAGTGCACTCTAGGTGTCCTGTGCTCTCCATATTCATATGACATAGTCAGCCTGACTTCTGAGGTGGATCCGGGGTGCTCTCTGCATGAGGAGCCTGTTGCTTGGCACCATCATGTCGTAGTCAGTTACTCACAGGTACCAGTGTGCTGTTCTGTCCATTCACTTGTTTCTTTCCAAGTCTAGGCTTGAATGAATTAAGACATCACAAACACCTGCTCTTAAGTCTGTAAGGATGTTTCTGTTTATGTTAGATATGTACCTAGAATTGGAAATTCTCAGCATCTAATATGTCTTAATATTATAAACAAAACCAGTTTTTCAGTGCAGTTGTCATGAGGGTTTGTCCTGTCTTAGCATTTCCACATGCCCCCTCCTAGGTCTGATCCACATTCCTCACCTGACAGGGAGAGCTTCCTGAGTCCTGACTCAGACTCACTTAGATATCCACTTTCCAATGTACAGTCCAGTTACTCGACAAGTGGTAATATCTGTGTGGAAATGAATTGAATTGTCTTGTCATAATGTATATCAAATGGGAAAATTCTGTGCCTGAAGAAATTTGGAAGCAAGATGTTTTAACTTCCTGTTCTTTGATGGATCCCTTTGATAACCTGTTCGTACTACATTTTCGACTTTTGTACAAAGTTTAAAATCGAACACTGTGCCAAGCCAGATGTGGTAGCTGCTCTCAGAATCCTAGGATTTGGGAGACTGAGGCAGGAGGTCAAGACTACAGAATGAGACCTGTCTCAAAACAAAAGATAATTTAAAAAGGGACTAAAGATGGAGGGAGAACAGGTTTTGAAACATGGAAGACCAGAGCCTTGCCGGCTGTCCACTCACAGCCCTGTCAGCGGCTGGTGCCTTGTAGTCCCTGTGAAGTAAAAGCGGTGTCTCCTTTTAGATCAGTTGTCTAAGTGAGGCTAACAAAGGCTTTTCTCATCCCTCTTTCTTACAGATTTTCCAGAATCCGAGAAATTGACTCTGTTCATTGCCAACATGTGGCGTGAAGTATTTCTCTCCCAGTCAGCCATTAGTGAAGCGATGCAGCTAGTTGCCAGGCAGCGTGCCAGAGGAGAGGTTCTGAACTGTTTGAGAGCTTTCCTGAGCTGGGAAAAGGTGCACTTTGTTTTTTTATTTCTTTTCAGCAGTATTGTAGGATGAGCATAGGCGCTACTATGTAGCTTTGTATTGTGTTTCCTTTTGTCTTAGTTCTTAAACATTTCAAAATGGTATGTATTTATTTGCTTGCTTATATGTATATGTGCTCAGTATACTTGTGGATATCAGAGAACACCCGTTGGGTCTGTTCGCTCCTCCCACTCATGGTTCTGGAAATCAAACTCCGTTCATCAGGTCTCAAACAAACAAAATCTCTATTGAGTCCTTTCGTTCGTCTGCCCCTGAGAGTGAGAGGGACACAGCACTTGCTGGGCCTACAGTGTCTTTAGCTTTATCCCAGCACAAACAGAAGACGTGGAGTGGGCTGCATGACGAGCTCCAGGTGCAGCCAGCAGGCACTCCAAACTACACGTGTCCCTGCTGCCCTCATCCTGAGGTAGCATCCCGTATATAAAATGCTTTTGACTGGAATTGTTTGAGATTCAGAGTTGGGTTGGTTTTTTGTTTTTTTGTTTTTTGTTTTTTTTGTTTTTCCCCAAGTTTAAAATACTTTTGTGGACTTTAACATCGAATGCTCCTGACCTGAGACTGCAGTGCTCTGAGTCTTGTTCCATTCATAACTTGGGTAACAGTTAAACAGTAGGCTGTCCGTTGCTCATAGATTAATGTCATGCTAATACACATGCAATGGATTATATCTGTTAAGCAAGCAGTCTCTATAGACTTGAGTTATCAGTGTTTTAAGTGATGATAAATGATTCACCCTCCACCTTCAGATCTAACGAGCAGAGTCTTCTTGACCCCGTCCGTAACTTTTAAATGTTACCGGTCAAGTTGAGAATATGGAATATGAGCTGTAGTGAATGTTGGCTTTCATAACGGAGTCCATCTCCTAGACATTTTAATTCAATATGCTGATTCCTGACACTTCAACCATAGCCTCAGCCTAGACTGGGAATCTCAGCGTCTTGCAAAATCAGTATTTCTACAGACTCTCGAATGTTCAGTCTTTCCCCAAGGGGTCACTAGATGTGTTTGAATTTGTTTTCGAATCTTCTCAGCTTGCAAAATTGCTGACTTCTCCAAGAAGATGTACACCTTAATGGAAACCTGAGAATCTGTCAGTAGCTTATGCAGACTTCCCAGCTCAGGCTTTCCTTTGCTCTGAGCCTGTGTTTGCCCTAGGACCTGCGTGTAGTGCTGATGGGATGCTCAGCAACTCAGCCTGTGGGAGCTGCACACAGTCCCCTGCAGTCCCACCCCGGGCCTTTCTCAAGGGATAGGGAGCTTTTAAAAAAAATAAATAAATAAAAGCCTGTGTGAATGTTCATAGAAGCAGAACAAGGTATAGCCTCTGTCGAGGTGAGCTGCTTGTCAGTCAGTGTGTCCTGATTCACTACTTGGCAGAGAAGAGAAGTACTTAAGCTGCTGGCATAGATGAGAACACCAAGCACGGAATGTTCTCAAAAGTGAAGGAAGCTGGGCATTATTCTCTGGCAGATTGATCAACATTTTCAGAAGGCAGAATTTATAGAATTTTAAGGGTTAGTCTATTGTTAAATTGTAACCACATTTTATAACCTTAATCTCTGGTTGTACCAAATGTAGTCTGTGCTTCTGTCTAGATTGCAGCTCAGCTCTTTGTGTGGTACTGATTATGGCACCAGTACTGTTGGGAGCCACTTTGCTTAAACATTAATGGCCTAAGTCAGCCATACGTGCCTACTGACACAAAGTCTTGGCCTCTATGGGAAAGCACTAACCCTAGAACAGATAGCTGTAAATCTTGCAGACAGGTAGCCCTGGTGGAAAAGTACTAGCCTAAATCAAAACTAATAAACAATAAATCTTACGAACTTTGGTAAAAAAAAATACTAACTTAAATAAAAACAAATGACCAATAAATCTTATGAATAGATACATGGTGACCTATTCTGCCCTGCTTCTGTAAACTTTTCACCCCAGCCAATATCCTGTTCTAAAAAAATCTGTATTCCCCTTAAACACACCTGCGCTCCCCAAAAACAAAAAACTGTATGCCACCCCCGTTCCCATATCCTGCTTCTATATGTATATAGCCCGTGTAAAAAAAAAAATATTAAAATTTAATTGCGAACCCTTGCCCCCCAGTTCTCTCTTCCAGGTCTTCTAATCCGAGTTCACCACTACTTTTGTTTGTACAGTTCCTAGTTCAAACTCAGGCTGCTTCAAAGTTACTCATAGGGTAAATGGCAGTTCACCAGATGCTTGTTACAGTCTCAGATTGCTAACACTTAAGGTGTTACTTTTTTTAAAAATGTGTTTATTTTTCTTTTCTAGAATGCTCCTATAGATGTTGGAATTGTAGTTTCTAAGCTGCTTCTGACCATACAGCTGTGCCCCAAAACAGAATTTCAGTCGAGTGAGGAGTTTGGCGAAGACCTAAGTGCAAACATCTGGGAATACATATTTGCCATTGATCTCCTCTGCTGCCACCAGAGGTGGATTTGGACGCATGACAACATCATAAGGTGAGTAAGTGTGCCGCTCTAAGGGAAGGTATCCTGCTGATGCTGCGTGTGGGCTGACTGGTCCTTCCGTCTTACCAAGGCATTTGAAGGACAGATAACTTTCATTTTTACAAGAGCTAACAAAAGCACCTGAAAATGCCCACATCGCTCTTAAAGGCTTTGGCTTTGCCTTTCTGCATGCTGTTAACGACTTCACTGCCCTGTTAGTGTCTCCCCAAGGAAGTAAGGGGAGCATGAGGGCCGTCTGTCCCTTTCTGTCCTCAGACGCAGCCTCACAGGGCAACTCAGCGACTGCACGCTAACCAAGTGCTGCACTTGTCACCTTCGTGCACTGGCAAGCCGGAACCAGAGGGAAAAATGTGAGCAGATTACCAGTTAGCTTCTCTGTGCTGGAGAGAGTGAGGCCTGATGGGGCCTGGTGCTGCAGACAGCCTTTGAATTTGGTTGGTTTTCTCTGCTTGTCTGTGCTTCTGGCACCAACCATGTGCCATCCCTTAAGAGAGCAGAGAAGACTGACCCTCAAGTAAAGAAATTGCTTTGCAACTCTGCCTGAGAAAGCCTGGTTTAAGACAAGATAGAATGCTAAATCACTTACACACAGCCGGTGACTTGTGTCTTTGAAATGCTTGAAGGTTTCTGTGAGAGTCAAGCTATTTGTGCATGAGTCTTGTTCTTCCCACTTGCCTGATTCCACGAATGACAGACACCTGGATCTGACACTTGAGAAAAGAGACTAGGTCCATCTCTAGAGTGAGGTCTGTGTCAAGGTGCTTGGCTGTGAGGAGGTCCTTGCATATCCATGGAAAAGTATGCCCCACCGTCAGTCTTACATAAGAAAATGGCAGGGCGTCTGTCTAGTGCCTGATCTGTAAAGGTGCAGGATTTGGGTGGATTCTCCCTATGAGTTCAGAGAGACAGGACCATTCTTCCTCAGTGGCAGGAGGGACTAGAGCTAACACATGTCAGAGTGCTTTGCCCAGGATCCTTTCAGTGGCAGTAAAAGCACCATTCTCTCACCATGCCATTTAAGTCTGTAAACAGAAGGGGGCGGAGGAGCTGGAAAGCAAAGCTGGATTATAGGTGACACGCACCACAGAGATGGGCACGCACCTAGTACTGTCTGCACGGTGATGGGCACGCACCTAGTACTGTCTGCACAGTAATGGACATGTATCTTGTTCTGCTGTTTCTAGTAAAGAGCTGTGGCCTGTGATGGATAAGTGGATCAAATACAGGAAAGGACATTCGAACATCGCGTACACCCCTGATGTCATTGTAGCGTCTGTGCTGAGACTGATTGGTAAGTCTGTGGTGCGGCACCGCCCTTACTCTTCCCTTACTGCTTTCTGACCTCAGTGCTCCGGCCATTTGGGACATTCTAGGTGTGGTGTTGACACATACACAGACAGGGTCACAAGTTATTCAGTGTCTAAAATGTCGTTGTGGGCCGGTGAGATGACACATGGGCAGAGGCACTCGCCGCTGAAGAGGCTTTCGTTTAATCCTAACTGCTAAAGAAGGTTTCCAGTTAATCCTTAGGAGCCCCAAATTAAATACCTTCCTATTAGCTATTTTCTTGAAAAAGCTGGTTTCTTCAAAGAGCCCCTTGGGTTTCACTGAATTAAACCTCAAAGGCGACACTATTGGAGATCGTGTTGGCATTTGGGAATAGGCTATATGAATGAACCTTGTAAGTACATGGTGGGAAATACCATGCCTCTGCTGACTGTCACTGTATCTACAAATCTGCTTCTTCTTCCTTGTGAACTGCATGCACTAATGATGCATGTGCTTAGAACATGTATAAGACATCGAAGACAAAAGCTTGAGTCTGAGTGGGTGTGTGCCTTCATGAGAATTAAGTCAAAACGTGCATGACGTTGTGTGTTAGCTGATGAGTTGGCCAAAGACTGGGCATTCATGACAGCCAAATCAAGGCTAGAGGCATAGGTGTGCGGTCCTATACAGTCTTGGAGGTGTCTCAGGCTGCTGGGCTGAGTTCCTTGGTCAGAGGCTGTCCCTGTTTTGGAACAGGAAGAAGGTAGTCCAGGGGGCCTTGCTGGCAAACTAAGCATCAGCTAATATGTGTGTGTACGTGTGAAATATAATCAATGAAAGTGAGTGCTTCAGGAACCATTTTGAATATCTGTAGATAGTCTACCTTGTTTTCCCTGAAATGAAGTCTTGCTGTTAAAGTAGTCAGTTTTTAAAGTTACCTGTGAAACCTGAAGTCCACTAGTCTAACTTCCATGGTGAAGAACTTGTTTGCCCACTTTCAGTTTTGTGATCTGCAGTGTTCACCTGGAGAATAGTTGTTTACACACATCTTCCAAATGTCACCAACACACACAACAGAATACACGTGCCAGCTCATCCGTAAGTGTTTGAGCTCCCAAGTAGGGTGGCTGGTGCAAGATGCTGACCTCACAGTTCAGTCTGGGTTTACTCTCACAACACTGTGCTCAGTGGGCGGTGAGTGTGATCTTCATGTCACACATGTGTGTGTGCCAGAGTCCAGGGTGGATGAAAAATGAGAGAGCTATGCCTTGTCCGTCAAGCAGAATCTTTAGTGAGATTGGCATTAGCGCCATGCCATCCAGTAAGAATCGTCTCCTTCACCTGGTGAGAAGCTGCTGTGGTTGATCTGGTCGTGCCTTTGTACCTGTGACCGTCCCTCAGAGGGTGCAGGAAGCCCTGTGCTTCCTTCTGTGGCTGCTGCTCTGTCACTACAGTCTGTTGGTGAGGCCACAGGCTTCTCTGTTAACCTGGTAACTTTACCTGTGTTATATTTTAACCTGGTGACTACTACTTAAGTTCCATTTCTGCATTCCTACCTGTCTAGTTAGGGCCTCATTGTTTAGTTAGTGATGAAACACTGTGACCAAAGCCACGTGGGAAGGTAAGGATTCATTTCCTCATGATCCCACGTCACAGATCATCCTCAGAGGAAGTCAGGACAAGAACCTGGAGGGAGGAACTGATGTGGAGGCTGTGGAGGAGTGCTGCTTACTGGCTTGCTCAGCCTGCTTTTTCTTAGAGAACCCAGGACCACCAGCCCATGGATGGCACTGCCCACAATGAACTAGGCCCTCCCATAGCAATCATTAATTAAGAAAGTACCCTATAGGCTTGCCTGTAGCCTGATCTTACGGAGGCATTTTCTCAATTGCAGTCCCCTCTTCTCATTGACTTTAGCCTATATCAAATTGACATCAAACTGGCTAGCATAGTGGTACGTAAGAAAGCAGCATGTGTCTGTGCTTACACATGGGTGAGAGGAGGTGAGCAGCACCCGGAGTGGCAGGGAGCGAGCATCACATCGTGCTGCGAGCCCTGTGGCCTCCACTGTCTTCAGGCTTAAACTACACCATGTATGGTGGGAAATGGGAAAAATTAACAAAACAAAACATGAGTTACAGTTTCCAGGAAACATTAGCCAGCATTTATTGAACTCTACTTTGCTGTGCTTTGTTTTTCCAGGTCGATTAGGCCAGTTGGGGTTGAAGGAGGGATTTCCAACTGCTGTGAAGAATATCAGCTCAGTCATTGGTATGTTCATACAACACGCTCAGGATGAAGGTAAGACGTTGGCTTTCATTACCCCTGAACTGTTCTCCCTGCGTGTCCTGAGGACATGAGCCAGTGCCCCTCCCACTTTTCATCTTTTGTGATGTTTGTTTTCTTCAAGAGTCAGTTTGCCCTGTGAGCAGTACTTCCTCAAAAAAAGGGAACTCTGCTCCTGGGCTGCTGTCTTGTCATTCAGGAAGCATTCTGAGAATGCCTTACCACTGCTCACCCTTGCATGTATAAGCACAGAGTACCTGCTGCTTTCTTAGGTAGGCAGTGTGCTAGCTAGTTTTGTGTCAACTTGACACAAACTACAGTCATCTGAGAGGAGGAAACCTCAATTGAGAAACTGCCCATGAGGCTGCCTCCTGGGCTGTATCCTCAGTGAAAACCTGCACCACAGCCTGAGGTGAGTGTCCTGAGGCAGAGCTGGCCCTTGTGTTAACCATTATGGATTTCATGGCATGTAATTTAATGTCTTATTTTTGTGGGTAAAGCTTAACTCAGAGTAACCCTTAGAATGATGAGTCTTGTTTCTCTTTTGAATATTGAGCAGTGAATGAATAATGTAGCTAAACAGTTTTGTACTAGATATGCAAATCGACAGCTTAGACCCCTGGTGGTACTGGGCTAATCTCGCAGCAGGTCTTTGTCTTCAGCTATGGGTGGCAGGCCTGATGTGCTAGGCTGATGAGTAGCAGCTCTAAGTGCTTTCTCTAAGACACTGTCCTGCTGCTAAGGCAGTGTTCATTGCTTCCTTAGGAGAATGCTCTTGATGACAATTTGGATACTACTTGACATAAAAAGTAGCCAGGGTCATAGCTGGTAAGTTGTCTCACTAACATGTGCAGCCTGGACTGTGTTGCTGTCATGGGTGTAACGGAAAAGCCCTGCATATGGAATGCTCCCCACAGTAGTACACACCACCTCGCTCCCTGGAGGTGGAAAGACACTGTCCTCATTTCATACTCTAAATGCCAGAGGGAAGAGGAAGGAGCCAGCAGTGCCTGGCAGCCCTGTTGTTGCTGCAGCCTGTGTGCTGCAGTCTGGAGGCTGCATGAGGCAGGCCCATGTGCCTGCTTAAGGCTGTGAGTGCCTCCTTTGTGTTTCCTTGAGTCCTGGTTCTGGAGGGAGCATATGCTATGCTTTTCTTGATTCTTCAGATTAGGGAAGAAATTCTTCTAAATTATCAATTAGAACTAACATTTAGACACATGGATTTTTCTGGTGTTTGCTTTCTATTTGAGGAGGGGAACCTCCCAGAACTGCCCTTGTCAGAAAATGAACATTGTCCCTATTCCAAAGTCTAAAACTCTTTAAACACGGACAAAATAAACCACAGCTTTAAAATTCCTATCATGAAACTGCTAAATAACACGAAAGTATTAGTATGTTGTATTAAATTACCTTTGCTATGCATATAAGGCATATGGGTCATAAATGAGTGTCATGGTTAGAGATTAATCCAATCTGTGATCTGTGGATATACATTTGGATGAGGGGCACATCCTGAAATTCTAATTTGCCTTGTTTATCCCTGTCTTGCTCATAGGAAATGGAGAGACATGGCTAATAATGAACTTTAGCTCCTAAAACATTTAAAATTCAGTGAATTACATTAACTAAGTTATAAATTAATGAATTAGATTTTTAAAAGTAAACTTTTGCCAACATAGGAATAATGGCACTCTGATTAAACTAGCTCTGTCACAATGGCCTAGAGCCATGCTGGTTTGGAGTCACACTGGCCTAGAACCACACTGGTCTGGAGTAACACACTAGCCTGGAAGTCACATTGACCTAGAGCTACACTATTCTGGAGTCATACTAGTCTAGCGTCACACTGGCCTAGAGCCAAACTGGCTTTGAGTTACAGTGGCCTGGAGCCACACTGGCCTAGAGTCACACTAGTCTAGAGCTTACAGTGGCCTTGAGTCACACTGGTTTGGAGCCACTGACCTAGAATCACACTGGCCTGGAACCTTGCTGGTCCGGAGTTACATGGGCCAAGAGCTACAGTGGCCTGGAGTTACACTGGTCTAGAGACACACTGGCCTAGAGCCACAGTGCCTTGAGTCACACTGGTCTGGAGCCCCTGGCCTAGAGTCACACTGGCCTGCAGTCACACTTTTCTGGAGCCACATTGGTCTGGAGTCACACTAGCCTAGAGCCACATTGGTCTGGAATCTCATTGGCCTAGTACCACACTGGCCTAGAGTCAAACTGACCTGGAGTTATACTGATCTGGAGACATACTAGCCTGAAGTCACACTGGCCTAGAGTCACTTGCTGGAAGCCATGCTGGCCTAGAGTCTCACTACTGACCTAGAGTCACACTAGCCTAAAGTAACTCTGGTCTGGAGTCACACTGGCTCAGAATCACAGTCTCATCTGATGTCACTTGACACAAGGGCAGGCTTTTGTACAAACGGATTATTCAGTAAAAATAGACTAAAGTTATTATGACTTTCATGTCTACATCCATTTAGAGACAGTGCCGGCGGCTGTTTGAGAGTTTTATATTAGTTGGTTGTTAGAGGATCCTCATGTTTTTCCAGCTTCATGGGGTTAGAGGAGTCCTGAAGTCCACGTAACAGCCAGTGCCCAGAGGGACAGAGGGCTCTTATTTTGCGTTCGTAGACAAGTCTTGAATGAATGTTTTTATTATGAGACCTTTTCTTTTTGTAATGTAATCTTTATTAGTGGCAGGAAATAGTACATGTCTGAGTACTTTTCTTAGGTCATACACTGAGATGCTGAATAACAGATACTTTCTTTGTTGATGTGTTATAACTGATTTGAAAATCCCTTTCAGATATCCCATGGGGTGTACAGCTTGCAGCTGTATATGCCCTTTGTGACTTGAGCCCTAGCAATCCAGCGGAGATAGCCAAGATCCTAGAAGCGTGGCGGACACAGACTTCCAACACCATTCCATCTGCAATTGTCAGCTGCCTGGAAGAGGTTGGCTCTCTGAGTGCTGATGGCTCAGCTGGCTCTACAAGCAAAGGAGACTGTGCACCCTGAGAGCCAGGGACTCAGTTCCCTGAGACAGGAGGATTACCAGAAGGTCATGGTCACTGCAGAGAGACATGCTTTAGCAAGCTTTTCTGTAAAGGACTTAACCTGTCTTCAGCAGAGAAGGCAAAGGAAGGCATGATGCAGACGACCCAGGGGCAGGAGCTCCTTGTGGGTTCCTGAAGACAGAAGCAGGCAGCTGTGTTTCCCTCCATCACATGCATTTCAGTTATGGCTGTATGGCCACAGACATATAGATTGTATTATTGTATCTTGGTCAAACAACAAAAACTTGAACTTAGCCCTTTTTATTTTTTGGCTGCAAAAAGTGTCCTTTTTAGTGGCTTTTAAAAGTTGAGTGGCATTTTTTATAATGATCTTAAACGTACAAAAACATGATTTGGTACCTGAGTCATTTTTAGAGTTTATGCTCAAATAAATGGCTAGGCAAAAGCAAATTGGCTTTTAAAACAAGAAGTAAGTGAGTCTCTCACTGTCGTAGCTGGAAATGGCTGCAAAAGCATAGTGCGCAGCTACCGTAGTAGGACAAACTTAGTGGAAGTGTACTTGAGTGTGTTTCTTCCCATCTCTAAATGTCCTGAACCATAAGTAACTATCAGGATTGATGGACAGTGCAAGACTCCCATTTGGCTGTGTAGAGATGGCCAGTCTGCGGGAGCAGCAGAGCCCTGTGGGCTGTGTGTGTAGGGACAGCTCTGTGGGGTGTGTGCATACAGACAGTGCTATCTATGATGTGTCTCACATTGGATGATATTCCACTTTCGGAATTTTTTATTTGTATATAGAATGGGTTTAATAACTCACTGTGATTCTGATTTGTCTTATATTCATCATTTCTTAAAACTCTTGTATGTGTTTTTATAATAAAAAATAAAAGCAAGCCATACATACTTGTTATACTTGTTTTTATATGGTGCTTGGTGTTCATCTGCAGTGCGGATGAAGATGTCTACCAGACTGTGGAGTGTCAAACGGGTCTGTGTAGACTAAGCTGCTCAGTTATAATTGCTGCCTGTAAAGTCCCACCTGACAATGATTCCAGTGACTTACATCTGTATCTTAAGTAGCTTTCACAAACATAAGTGAATGGGTTGCCCCTTTGGAAGTTCTTCTTTAGTGTCTCCTTCTGCCTATGCCCTGAGCTGGTGCTCACCAAGCCAGTTAAGAGCCATATTCTCAGAGTTCTGACCTGTGAGTGGGTAAATCTCTGATGTCATCAGCGACTGGGCCTGGCAGTGACTGACAGATCTGTTATCACAGAGAAAGGGCACAGGCAACAGCCCGAGATCTAGGTCATCTGAGGAGGTAAAGTTAGAAGGACCCAGAAGAGCGTCAGCCAAGAAGAGGAGTGGTAGCATTCCTGGAAAGTGAAGGGAGCCCTGAGCAGAAGCCCTACTGAGGCTAAGAAGGTGTGGGCCCCAAATGCAAGTGACTGTCCATGGGATCCTGTTCCACAGCAGCCTGCAGGACACTTAGGTCTGGGCTGCAGGATGAGGGACACAGGCTGAACCCTCAGAAGGGACAGGTACAAGATACAGTAGGCCGCAGCACAGGTGGTCAGGGTAGATGGGTTTCAAGTCTGCCTCAAAGGTGGAAACACTGTGTTGAAGTATAGGTGAGGACCAGGATGCTGAGCCACTAGGCTGAGTGGCATAGGCTCAGTGGTGGGGATCACAAATGAGTATTTTCCACTTTCAACTGTTGGTGGCCTGGAGCCCCTAAGAGCAAAATTGTGTTAGAGATCAGGGCAGACATTTGGGGATCGTTACCCTACGGAGGCAATGCTAACTTGCTCATTTGTTACTATTCATATCCTGTTGTCCTTTCCTACCCTGTCTCTCCTCTTCCTCTCCTACCTGTCTCTTCCTCTAGAGAGAGCTTCACCTTGGCCCTTCTGGATGCAAGATGGGACAGAGTAGATGGAAGCACAGCGTCCCTGTTCTAGGTAAAGCAGTGGTGAAGCATCTGTCGCGAGTGGCCTGTCAAAGTGGCAGAGCAAATGGGAAGGGAGAGGCCAGGCTTTGTGTGTCTAGAGTGTCCAGTGGTCGAGCATCTGGAAGTCTCCATGGACACTGGCGTTCTCCAGTCCAGTAACACCAGTTCCAACTCTGGCTGCCAGCCAGCCATTCATCCATCCGTCTGTCCATCCACCCATCCATCCATCCAACCATCCATCTACCCATCCACCCATCCACCCATCCACCCATCCACCCACCCATCCATCCATCCATCCATCCATCCATCCATCCATCCATCCATGGCACATCTGCAAGGACAGGAGTCACCCATGGTGCTGTATGGCTCTCTGCCAGAAGAGTTACAGGTGGAGGCTTTTATCATCCTGTCTGAGAAGTGGAACTGTATGGAGCCAAATGGGCTCCATATGTACCTGCTGATCTTCCAGAGACCTCCAAGGTCATGGTGCAATATGTCCTTAGAAGTGACACATCAGTTAAGGTGGTCATTTGTTGTTTTCTCCTTGCTACTAAAGATGAGGCTGTGCAACTCATCAGATGTGTGAAAGGGGATGGATTTGAACTGTGGCCACCAGAGGGTGCTACAGACCATCCTGTGAGCAGAGCCAGGTGACTAGGTGGCTGCTCATCAGGAAAGTACTTTTCTACTCCTAGGCTACTAGTTTAGCTTCTTGGGCCCATTAATTCTACGGTACATGGGGGTTGGGGTAGGTGATAAGGTAACAGGTACAAATAAATGTTAACTGTTCAGTCAAATTCTCTTTGGTGATTGCTAAAAATAATCACAAAATAAAACACTTGAGGGTAAAACCAGGTGGGTTACTGACCAAGCAGGGCAAGCACAGCCATCCAGAAGCCAAGAGCTTCTCAGCGGTCTGACATGCTCCTGTGGAAAGCAGTTAAAGTGTGAATAGCGGTTCTAAGTACCTCACAGCAGAGATGAGGCAAAGATTTTAATGAGAAGGTTCTAGAAGCTGAATTTCTAGTAAGGAAGGAACTAACATGTAAGCCATTTCTGCCTCCTCTCTGAAACTTCCTTGTGAATGATTGTGAACACTGGACACCCCCTTTCCTGCCCTTCTAAACAAAGTATTAACAGATACTATTTTTATATGAAGGCACTGTCATCTTAATGTTCTTTGACCAACACTCCTTTGTCATCAGTTTGTTTACCACTGGTAAGTAATTTCTGAGTGCAGCTGAAGACAGACCGAGTCAAAGGCCAGAGAAGTGTGTACAAGTGATGTGCATGCAGCACTTATGAAGCACTCTGTGCTTCATGGAGAATGTTAGCTCTTCAGCAGGCTCAGCAAGATACAGTCCTGGGTGCTTTCTCCTGGTACCAGCCTCTCCACTGCTCCAGTCCCAGCCCTTCCCCATTTCCTGCTGGGAGCTCACAGGACAGCCTGCCACTTCTCTAGAGGATGAAGATCTCTGAGTAGGTTCAGGACACACATCCCTGCAAATGAAACTGAACCAGCTGGGTGCTGAAGAACACGTCAGTGTCTACAAAGAGTGGTTAACATTAGCCAGCAATTAATGTTAAACTGAATTAGAAAAGACTGGCCATTTTCTCTCTCAGATGGGAGCAAGAAAAGAATGCTACCCTTCACTGTCATTCTAGAAGTCCTAGACAGGGGAACCGGACTTGAAAAAAAAAAAAAAAGCAGTAAAATTGGAAAAGAGGAAGGTCACTGTCACTGCAGATAATTTGACCATAAATGAAGACCTACAAAAAATGCATTAGAACTAAAGAATGCACAAGTCTCAAAACAAAATAGCATTCAAAGTTCAGTAATATTGCCTTTGCCAACCATAAGAAATCTGGAGCAAATCAAGACAGCAACACCAAAAGCAATAAAGTCTACAAAAGAAAAATCTCAATACCCCAAAAAGAGTAAAAACAAGCCGATGGATACACACAGATAGAAAGCCTGCCCCATGTTCTCTGGGTCCAAAAAGTGCTACTGTTAAAATCTCTGAAATCCACTGCAATCTAATCAAACAGAACATTCTTCACAGAACTGTACAACCTCTAGACTGAACTCTGTTCAGAGTAGCAGAAATCTCCAAATAGGAAAGCAGTTTTGAGCACAAAGAACAACTTAGAAGGCATTGGGCTGCCTTAGTGCAAGCACTACAAAGCCTCGGTAGTCAACACATCGTGGTGCTAGTAAAAACAGACTCACAGATCAATGAGAGACATCAGCAATCAAACTCACATCTAAGCCAGCTCAACAACCACAGAGTTATGAAAACACAGAGTGGGAAAGAGTCAACAGGTCATGCTGGGAATTGACTATGTTTACTAGTTAGAAAAACAAAGCAGATGGAAAACCATAAAAAAAAAAATAAAAAGAAACAAGATAGTCAATGAAAACTTGAGAATGCTTCAGGATACTAGAATAGGTGGGCTTTGGGCAGATTGGTGTTTTGTTTTTTTTTTTTTTTTCCTATCAGATCTCAAAAGCATAGGCGAACAAAACACAATAACTTATGATAGGGATCACATCAAACTAAAAAGCTACTTAGCAATGAAACAGCCAGAAGAAATAACCTACAGAATGGAAGGCATCCCCTACAAGTGCATCAATCCAGGCTAAATATGGAGACCATGGGAGAAGTAAGAAGGTGGCATCCAATCAAATAGTTTCTTTTCTTGTTGCAAAATTAAACCCTGAATATGAAGTAACTTGGGAGAAGGGGAATATTTCTGCTGGCAGTCCAAAGGGACAGAATCTACCATGGTGGGGAAAGGCATGGTGGCAGGAGGGTGAAGTAGTTGGTCACATCACATGCACAAGCAGGAAGCAAAGGGTACTGAGTGCTTATGCTCAGCTCATATCTCATTCTGAGCCCCCAGCTCGTGGAAATGGTGCCAACCATACATAGAGTGGGTTTACCATCTCAGCTAACCTCATTAATCTATATCCCACATAGATACGCCTAGAGATCTGTTTCCATGGTGATCCTGAATCCCATCAAATGGACAATCAAGATTAATCATCACACCCAATTAAAAATGGGCAAGCCGCCCAAACAGATGTCTCTCAGAAGATGTGGCGATGTCTGATAGATACACGATAAAATGTCTGTGACTAATTGCCAGAAAAATGTAGGTCAAAGTCACAGGAAGCTGTCACTCCATCCCAACATATGCATCTATTGCCAGTGAAACCAGATAGGGTGATGAGTGTGGCTCAAAGTTAGCACTCCTGTGAGGATGTCCTTAACCTAAACCTTGAGACCACTCCAGGGGAATATGGCCAAAGAAAATAGAATCAGCCTGTTATAAAAACACCTGCACCCCCTTGTCCACAGCTCCATTTGCAGTGACCAGGAGCTACAAACCAGCCTAAGCATCCACCAGCTGATTAACTGATGTGCAAAGAAACTGTGTATGCACATGAGAGAATATAAACTTTGCTCACAGAATCGTATTGCGGTAACTAGATAAAACTATGTTGTGTTAAGTGGACTTAGACAGAGAAAAACTGTGGAACGGAGAAAAGCTTCTTATACAAGCTGAGAGTAAAGTGATGATGACCAGAGAGGAGGGATTGAGGAGGGAGAGTCCTCCCTAGTGAGCAGTTGGATTCCAGGAAGAGGCTCTGGTGTGTGGCTGCACAGCAGGTAACTGACTACAGATGATGACAGGGTATATGTCTGACTTACCCAAACATTGCACAGTTTACACTCACACCACACTTTCTCCTACGTGGGGATACCTTAAAAATTAAAATAATAGGCAAACCCTCAAACTAGAATTGGGTCCAGCTGCTGGTACTTTGAAATGCAAACACATTCCTTATGCAATGCTCAGAGGCAAGTTTGCAGAAGAAACAAGTGTTTGATGCTGGCTGCAGAGCCACCTCTGGGGTGGTGGCTGTGTATCCACTGCAGAATAGTCGGTGAATATCT